ACTTGCTTCATTGATCCTCTTGTATGTATAATTTTGCATGCTATTTTTTAGCCTTGAGTAATCTGTTTTTGAGCATGATGTATCTGTGAATGTGCTTATTTGGGCCCTTCTTCAACATTGTTGAAGGGGCCCCCTCACCCATTTGTTGCCTCTATGTGTCACTTGTAGTTTATTCCCTTTATTTGGCCCCATTTTTGCATAAATTGGTAGCCCTCTTTGCTTCTGTTTTTGGACCTTGGTCCGAACTGAAAGTGACCTTATTTTGGCCCATTCTACATGTTTTTAAGTGTCTTTGCTGTTTTTGGTGATTATTTTGCATACCTCATGTATAGCACATTTTGAGCCTCATTTTGCATCACATTTTTAGCATGTTTGTATACTGATTTTGAGGCTTCCATATACTGTAATGTTCATATTTTTGGCCATCTTCAGTTTGTAGAAGGAAATTTTTTCAGTTTGGGTTTTTTTTTATACCACTTGCTTCATTACCCCTCTTTTGGCCCCTATTTCTTGCATGCTATTTTTTCCGCCTACCTATGCTTGCTGTTTGGCCTTGTTTATAACTGTGAAAGTGCATCTTTTGGACTGTCTAGCTTCTGTCTTTGTATTGCATGTCCATATTGTGCATGTTTAGCATAGCTATAGGCCATTTCGGAAGCCTAAAACACATTTCGGGACAATTTTCATGCATTTGGTTCATTTCCGCTACATTCGGGACTGTTTTCCCCCATATTTGTTGCTGAAATTCCATTTCAGCATGCTTTCATATCATTTTTGCCATGTTTCATTGCATTTTATCATTGCCTCGGTTTGCGTGCCCGTGTGCACGCATTTCGAGGCATTCCATTTTTTCCGCCGGCATCCGGTGGTGAGTGTGGCTGAGGCTCACTCATGTTGGTATAAGCCCATTTGTCATTTCCATGTCATTCCATTGCATTTTATCATTGCCTCGGTTGCGTGCCCGTGTGCACGCATTTCGAGGCATTCATTTTTTATCCGCCGGCATCCGGTGTGGTGTGGCTGAGGCTCACTCATGTTGGTATAAGCCCATTTGTCATTTCCATGTCATTACATTACATTTTATCATTGCCTCGGTTTGCGTGCCCGTGTGCACGCATTTCGAGGCATTCCATTTTATCCACCGGCATCCGGTGTGAGTGTGGCTGAGGCTCACTCATGTTTGGTATAAGCCCATTTGTCATTTCCATGTCATTTCGTTGCATTTTATCATTGCCTCAGTTGCGTGCTCGTGTGCACGCATTTCGGACACATATCATTGCCTCGGTCTGCGTGCCGTGTGCACGTATTTTGAGACACATATCATTGCTCGGTTGCGTGCTCGTGTGCAACGATTTGAGACACTTATCATCGCCTCGGTTTGCGTGCCCATGTGCACGCATTCGAGGCATCTTCTATTTCATCACTCTATCATCGCCTCGTTTTGCGTGCCGGTGTGCACGCACTCGAGGCATCTCATTTTCATTGCATTCTGTCATCGCCTCAGTTTGCGTGCCCGTGTGCACGCATTTCGAGGCATCTCATTTCAATAGCATTCTGTGTATGTTAGGTATGTATCCTTAGTTGCATTTCATGCATATCATGCATATTGCATCGCGTCAGAATAAGAGGTTAGTCCGGGCACGGGAAACGAGGTAACATTTCGTACTCCGAGTGACGGAATGTGTTCTCAATTCCCAGTCACCGACACTCCGGATTATCCATGATGGAGTTAGGTTTCAGCTGTAGTTTCTGTGCATTCAATCCTATATCGAGTTGTGCATTTCGACTCCTCGGCCATCATGCCTGGATGCGTGATTGGTGGCACGAGGATCGAGACTTGCATATATCTTGGCAAATACAATTGCTATGCCCTTTCTGCTCTCTGTTGCGCAAAATGGAGAATCAGCGACTTTTGAACTTGACACGCATTTCAAAACAGGTGTAAACAGAGGCTAATTGGGGCATTCCGGTGGATTCCGCGCAAGACAATCCGGACATGCATCATCCATCAGAAGCAAGGCGGTCCCTGGCTTGCACGCCATTTTGTTTTATTTGCTTTCATAGCTAATTTATTAATCAGAATTTTGAATATTTCGGCACTGTAATATTGCTTTCATTCTGGACTGTAATATTTGACTGTAAATTTAGTTTTGGACCTCTGCGCGAAGGGCACATATCTGTAATAAAGTGTGCGTGAGTGTGTTGTAGTGTTTACCAACCCCACGTCATTCCCTCCCTTTATTTATCCGCTGTATGATGGTTCAGATGGGGCATATTTTAAATTAGCAATCAGTACTGACAGCATGTTTGCATCATTCTCTGTATTGCCAGCACCGGGCTCAGGCGCATCATACTAACTGCTTGGGTATTTTCAATTCCAAAGTTGAATACATGATAGGTGTAGCATTTCATATGCCATGTTTAAAATAGCCGAGCTGCTATACGTTGCATTTGCATGTGTTGCCATTAGGCATTTCTGTATAATTAGGAATTCAATGCATGATTTCTTGCAGTTTCTATTTTTGGCTTGGAAGTACCCGCGGTGAGTTTATGCTTTATGCATCCTTTGCATTGCGTGTGAGTGTGCCATGAATAGCATGCTAACCATGAGGCTATGTGCTTATGTGATATAACTGCCTGAATGCTGTGGGTGAAGTTGGTTATCTGAATTGGGAATAAATCATTATCAATGTTTTAAGCCTACTGCGGGTAGCAAACCATTTCAAAAAAGGCGAACATGGAAATGTTTGTTCAATTTGGGACGACCAGGGTCCTATACTTGTATGCCGTGTGCATCACATAGTAACCTAGCTAAAAACCGGAATAAGGACATACAAAGTTTCAAAAATTGGAATATTCATGGTTAGTAGGGCCGGTCTATGAACGGGGCGAAGCGGGGTGCTCACGAAGTGACCTTCCCCAATAACGTACCCAAAGTTCCCGAGCGCGAGGCAACTTTGGTTGATGACGGATCACGTGGCTTTTGGCACGAGTTCAGGGTTTCCTAAATTTCCCCCAAACCAATATTAGGTGGCGACTTGTATCTGGCAAAGCAGTCGCATGTTTGGCACTTCTTTCACAAAAATCAGTTTTCCTAAAACGATTTGCCAGACTTGGACTGCTTTCGTTTCAGACTTAGAACCGGTGACTACGAAAAAGTCGAGTCAGAGCTGTAGCGAGGTCCCCGAGGGCTTGTTTACAGGTTGACTAGCTCTTTTTGTTGTTCCTTTTGTAATATACATGTATATCAAGTCATGGGCTTATTTTGTGTAAAGAGTTAGAACTCTACTTTTGTTGAACCCAAGTGTTACTGGAAAAGTTTGTAGTCTATGGGCCATTTACTTTTGTTGTCACATATATAATATCTTTTGTAAGAATACTCCTGTTGAATGGCCAGTACGTTCTAGCTCTTTTTAGTTTGTGGATGTAATGATGCATGATTTTTATGGTTTTATTTTGAGGGTGTTACAATTAAGGGGTGATGGATGTGACTTTTTGTTAAAAAAAGTTACATCAAATTTTTTTATTTTTTTATATGTTATTTTATAAAAGAAATAGTAATTAAAATAGTTAATTTTTAGACCGCTCTAATGAAAAAATTTATTGAAAATGCTCCTCCAATTAGATTAATACAAGAAGAACTTTAATTTGTTATATTACTTTAAAAAATAAAAGTACTAATTACATTAAGGGCCTTTTGGTAATACTTATGTTTTCAGTTTATATTTAATAGAAGATTTTATAAACTATTTTTGTTTATTTTTAAAAGAACATAAACTACAAATGCCGTTTGGTTTGGACAAAATGTTTGAAAATTTTAAAAAATATTACCCACTAAAAAAGTAAGAAATGTGAGTGGTGGTGTGGCGGGTGGTGATTGAGTGGTGTAGAATGGTGAGCGGAAGATGGTGGTGGCGGGTGGGTGGCGACGGAAGACGGTAGTGGTGGGTGGTGGCCAGTGGGTGTCGACGGAAGAGACGATGAATGGCGGGTGGCGAGTGGCCGGGTGATGGGTATAGAAAGCAGATGGTTTGGGTGTGGCAGCAGAAGACAGTGAATGAAGGGTGGTGACGGAGACGATGGTGGAAAAAGTGGTGGCAGGTGGTGGTGGCGGAAGACAATGGATGGAAAGTGGTAGGCAGGTGGTAAGAAGCGCGAAGATGATTGGTCGGGAAAGTGGTGGCTAATAGACGGTGGTGGCGGTAGAAAACGGTGGTGGACAAGTGGTGGCAGGTGGTGGTGCGGTGGAAGACGGTAGTTGAAAGTGGTGGCAAGTGGCGGGTGGTGGGATGGCGAAAGACGATGGTGGAAAGTGGTGGCAGGTGGGTGACAGCGGAAGAATGTTGGTGAAAGTGTAGCGGGTGGTAGTGGCGGGTGGGGTGAGTGGTGGGGAACGAAAAGACCGGTGGTGGACAAGTGGTGGCAAGTGGCGGGTGGTGGCGGCAAGAATGTGGTGGCAGGTGGTGAGGTGGTGGCAGCGAAAGATAGTGGTGGATAAGTGATGGCGGGTGGCAAGTGGCGAAGATGATGGTCGGCGGGTGGTGACAGCGGAAGACGGTGGTGGAAAATGGTGGGCAGGTGGTGGGGTGGTGGCGCGAAAGACGGTAATATGGAAAGTGGTGGGCAAGCTGGTAGTGGTGGTAAACGGAAGAAGGTAGTGGAAAAGTGGTGGTGAGTGGTAGTGGCGGAAGATGGTGGGTGGAGGATGGTGGCGGCGGAGGAAGACGTGGTGGTGTGTGACGGCATGAAGACGGTGGTGGTGGGCTGGGTTGGCGGAAGACGGTGGTGGGACATGGTTGCAGGTGGTCGGCGAAGTGGTAGGGGTGGTGCAAAAAAAAAAAAAAAAAAAACTAAAAACGTAAAACTCATTTTTTGAGTTACAAATTTTGAACTAAATTAATAAACTGAGACCATTGGTTATTAAACAAAATAATTTACCAAATAAGTTTTATGAACAATTTTTAAATTTTGTAATATATCAACTGAAAAACCGTAAGTGTTACCAAAGCGCCACTAAACTATTTTTTCGATATAAAAAATTATTGTAATATTTTGTGTTTGTAGATCAATTTCTTTCTTAATATCATTAATGTCTTATTTGTCATAACCTAAAAAATTAAAAATTCACATCATTTTAAGTCACCTCAATCTTATTTAGTCAATTACCTCTCTACCACATCACTTTTCAAACCCAATTCCATATTTCATAAAAAAGTAAAAAAGTACAGCTTTATTTAGATCATCATAAACTATTCCCTAAAAGGGGAGAACATTGTGTTGGACTTTTTTTGGTTTATCATGAAATTTATATCGATAATTTGAATTGTTTAATAAGTAAGGTTCGTCGAGTATTTTATTTCGATAAAAAGTATGTTAATTAAATATTAATAATTGTTTATCAGATTACATTTGTATAAATAATTAATTATAAATTATACTTGTTGTTGACAAATTATAGATATAATTATAATCAAATACCCTAATCAATATCTAGATTAACTTAATTTTTATAAAAAAAAAAAAAATTCTATATGTTAAAAAGTTTAAGTGCTTGTTTTTGTTAACTTAAAAAGTATATTTTTAATATATATAATTATACTTATTTAAATTATATCAATTAACATTTATACAACATTTTCCCTCTCTATTTTTTTAATCATTTTTTTTATTATAACATTATTTTTCCTTATAAAAATTAAAAAAATAACACTTCAACTAAAGCATCTCCAAATCATCCCTAAACTCACTGATAATAAACTTTGTAAACGTGATTCCACAACAACCCAGTTCAATTTTTTTTAAAAAAAAACGAAGTCCCAATTAAAATGCCTTCTTCTCTCTCTGCAGACAAGTGGATGAAGTCCTCCATAGGAACAAAAATGTCCTGTATCGAGAGGTTACCTTGTACATATACTCTCTGTGGTCTTCTCTACTGTCAAACTGAAGCTCAATGAAGTCATTATTGCTGCGCCCAACTCCACCTGACTCTCTCACTCCTTCTCCATTCTCTCTCGCCACCCAAGCGTCAACACAACAACTGACACTGAACTGTCTCTCTCTCTGATGCCAATGGAACCCAAACCAATGCTAAACAAATCAAGAGTACAAAACCAGAAACTCACCTTCCTTTACACTTCTCTCTCCTCCTCTTCTCTCTCCTCTATATATATATATAATATATATAAACATACACCATGCATTATTGATTGGGTTTTGGGTGACCTTTGTTGGGTTTTTGGCGAATGGGTGTCTCATTTCTCAGCTGGCCTCCAAATTCGGCTTTCTTCCCTCCTTCGCGCCGCCGACTTACGGGTGAAGAAGGGCGTCGACGCAAAGCTCACGGCGGTCTATACGGCGGCGTCATGCCATCGCGATCGGGAGACGAAGCTCCGGATGTGCTTTTGCTCGACACCGAAGAAAGGCAAAACAAGATTGTTCGCGTTCTATCTCAGAACCCATGTGCCGCTCACTCTGCTCTATCTCTCACGGCAATGCCGCTGATCTTGGCCAGCTCTATGACCTTTCGTTCAGCTCAAGGCCAATGCTCAGAGTCAATCTTATTGGGTTCCCTTTCTTTCTCTCATCTCCTCACATACCATATATAATAGCTTCATTGTTTTCTTCTGACTTCTGGGTTTTGTCCTCTCATTTGTCCTATCTACTCACCTTTCTAATTTTTTTTTTTCAATTTTAAAATAATTTTATGACTTGGGTATGGTCAATCTCAATAAATTTTTTGCTTCTGAGTTCTGGTTTAAATTTTTTTAGAAAGTTTTTTAGAACTTGGTATTGCTCCCAAACTGCTTTTTTAGAATTAATTTTTAAGAATAATATTAGAGACTTAGTATTTAGATTGATAAATTTTAGGTGAATCTTTAATCATAAATATGTAACTAATCAAAAATCAAGTCTATTGTAAATTGTGAAATATTTTATTTTATTTTATTTAGATCTGCAATATCTTTTATCTTTTATTTTTTTAAATAAAATGCCCCACAGAGAGAGTTTATGGATTGGGTGGTGCTATGCCAAAATAATTTTTGGTTGTGCGTATGTCGGTCCTCTCTCTACGCAATTTTCTTCCTTTTTCCTGTTTCAACTCCACTTTCAGTATATTATTTGGGTTCTTTCAGATTTTCAATGATGTGATGGTTTCACCTTGAGATTGATTTTTTTATGGGTTGGCTCCTTTTGATCTGTGAATTTGATAATTACTTTTCTTTTCGGCCACGCTTTTCCGTTGGCCCGACCCATGTCGGTAGAGTTGTGAGAAATGATTATATTTATAGTTTATAGTTTTTATCAACTTATAATTGTGAACATAAGTTAATTTTGATTTAAATAAGTTTTTCCTCCCATTTCAAGATAAGTTGATTTTTGACTTACAAAGAATTTATAATCTGTATTTGTTAAGTTAAAACCAAACACATCAAGATAACTTAAATAAGTTAAAAGCTGAAATATAAGTTGGAAAAAGTTCACCAATACATGAGGCCTCTGTATTCTATCGAAAAATTTAAATCGTTTAAATGTATAAAATTCATCGAATAATATTAACTTTTTTTTTATATATAAAAACCCAAGATTGATTGGATATCGATAGTTATTTTGATTAGCTTAACAATTAATTTCTAACGCAATTATGATTTTAATAATTAATCATAGACACAAATGGCAAGCTAATTAAGTGTCTATCAATATCTGTTTAACATGATTTTTATATAAAATAAGTATATTTTACGAATTCTACACATTAAATTTTATTTAAAATTATCGAAATGGATCCAAATTCAGGTCCAACAATCCCAACACTGTCTGTGATGGAAGCTGGACTCTTTATTTTTTGTTTTTTATTAATCTTCAAAATGTTTTCTTTAATTTTCATTCCGCTAAACATTAAATAGTTCGTTAGGCTTTATTTCATCGAAGTGAGATGAAATGAATGTCTATTCCTTAATTACAGAATAATCATTTTATTACATTGGTGCATGAGTTTCTAATTTACCATGTATAATATTTTATTTATTTTATTTGTTTTGTTAATCAACCAAACATGAGAATGAACATTTTGATGGGAAGAATTATTCCATTTCACTCCATTTCAATTAAACCTCAAATATTAATAATGTTGTGTTTGGTTAGGGATTTGAGGAGGGTATTTCACACGAGTGAATAATATATATATATATATATATATATAAGGACTTGTGCACAATTAAATCCCATGAGTGTTTGTAGATCAAAAAGTCCTAACAGTTGGATTAAAGACTTTTTGTGACAATTTTATGAATTTGTCGCTAAAAATGACAATTAATGACGTTTTTCTATGATGAATTTTTTAAACTGTCTTTAAAACCTAACAATTAGTGACGCTTTTTATAAAAACGTCGCTAAAAAAAATTAAAAAAAAATTTGTGAAAATAATTAGTCAACAAAACTTTTTGATACACTAAAAAGTCCAGATGAATGGTGCACACATCTGCCTAATAGGATTTTTCATCAATTCACCAAAAAATTATTATCACCAAAACAGGCCCAAACTCAAAGAAGGCCCAAACACAGCCCCTGCTTATTTTCAAAAAATAAAGAAATGAAAAAGTAGGCCTAAAGAAGAGCCTAACCATCTGATTGAACAGAGGATTTTATTTGCACCCAAAAAATAATTTAGCACACTCAATATCTCAATATTTACTATTAAATTATTTAAGATTATAATTTATTCTCAATACACCCAATATATTTTGCACTAATTATCCTTCAAGATACACCTAAATAATAAACAAATCAAAAATTCGTTTATGTTGTGTTTGATTGTGAGATTTAGAAAGTGATTTAGAAAATAAAAGGAAAAAAGTAAGTAAAATATAAATAAAATATACTTACATTTCATTTCATTTCACACATTTTTCTTTTCCTTTTCCAATTTCTTTTTCAAATTTTCTAACCAAATACAACATTAATTATTATTCATAGATAAAGCCATCAGTTGAAGCCACTACAGCGAATCAAATAGTACTGAATCAACCTATCACAAATTAAAAGCACCAATTATTTCTTAAATTCGCGAATAGAATGACCAAAATCTATATGTCCCCTTTGGTTGTGTGTTCATTCGGTTTTTTTTTTTTTTTTTTTTTTTCTAATGAAGCCATCATACTTTTTTTCATATTTGCAGAAAATACATTAAAGTTGTTTGGAGTAGTATTCTCAAAAACTGTTTTAGGAATAACTTCCTGCAAAAACCCAATTTTAAGATAAAAAGAGAAGTAGGTTCAGGATTTTCAAAAACTATTTTCACACACATATGAAGGATTTTTGAAAATTTGTTTCAGATAATTTTAATTCTTATTAATAGTTATATTGATGATAATGATGAGTTTTGGTAAGTTGGATTGGAATTTTAGAGTGATAAAGAAGATACACAGAAAATAATTAAAATTTGGGAAAGAATATGAATGACTTGAACATGAACAATAAATATAAGTGATTAGTGTGAACCATAAGAAAAAAATAATATTTTATTTTAGGGTTTAGTGTATATTGTTCTCATTAGTAAATTTACATTAAGATATAATAAAAAGTAAAATTTTAAAATTTTAATTAAACATATCGAGTTATTATTTAGATACAAATAGAATCACACGATTGAACTGCTCGATCAATTTCAAAAATTGTATTCGATCAACAATAGTTGAATTTTTCTTAACCTGATACCATTTGGTTGGGTAAAAGGTAGCATGCCAATCCATCCGAACTATGATTACCCTTAGGTCTGGGGGTACTGCTATGAGGGA